TTTTCATTTTATGAGTCTTTGATATTGACATTACAGAGGACTCTAGGCCTTGTTACCTTTTTTATCCACACAGGATGTTGTAGAAAGCTTGTGTGGCCGAACTGCACCAATAATCTTAGAAAGCCCAAGATCAAGATCTGATCAGAAATTTTAAGTGAGGTGTGGGGGAGCCACCTCATTTAACATTTTGTAGGCTTCAATAGCTGAAGTAGTTACCCATCACTCTAGGAAATCAGTTACGAGAAATAGTAATTTTCAAGTCCTCCTTAATCTAACCCTATTGAAAATTAAAATCCCCAAAATGAGTAACAACAAGGAACTGTTTCTCTCCTGTGCTTAGGAGGGGAGACCTAGGGGACAAATTTGGATGTGTTTGCACTAGAGATGTTGCAAGAAGCTGAATGCTATTTCCAGGTACTGTGACTAAAAGGCACCACTAATGAGAAATCAGGTTTTCTGAGGTATCCACATGGGCTCCACTAGCACAGCCAATGAAAAATTTGTTTGATTAACTTGAAAGATGGGAGGCAACTTGGGATAAGCCCTAAATGTCATGAGGGGTGATCCCTATTTGAAACACACTCTACACATATTATTTTTCATCACCATGAAAATTGCTTATTGTTTTTATGTGATGTCAAGACTTACAAAGATTCCAACAAATTTTCAGAGGATTATGTGTTGCACTCTTTCCTCTTATGATGTTTTATGAAGAAAAAACACTATTTGTCCCATAGGACAGTGGTCACAGTCCTTTCACATACATTAAGGATCCCTTTGGGTTTTTTTCAGAAGAGAGGGAGTATTTTCCTTTGTATATTGCCACAACAGATGTGACAACAAAGATTTAATATCAACGGGTAAATTCATTACTGCTGTAATGTACTGAAGTTCATATTACTAACAGGATTAATGTAACAATTACAACTGAGAGAATTTGCCACTGAGATTTATCTTCAGTATTCACAGAGGCACAGTAATAATTGCCATTGTTTCTAGAAAGCAATTGCTATTTTCAAAAAACAAAACAAGCTTACACAGGCAATCAAAAGTCATCATTCCTTGCCAAAGAAAGTAAAAAAAAAAAAGCCTGAGATTTCACTGAGTATCAATGAAATGATTTGTAGGTTTCCCAGGCCAAAATAAACACCGCAGATAAAATCTGAGCAAACTGGAGAAGAGAAAATGAAAAAAAAAAAAAAAAAAAAAGAAAAACCAAAAAGCTTGTTGCAATAATAAAACACTGGAACTTCCATGTTAGGAAGAGGAATTTGAATTGCACATAAATCTCCCAAGAAATTAATTAACATCAGAAACATTTTAGGAAGTTCTTGGGCTTTGTTCTCAATTTCAAAACCTAAGTTGTTATAAAAACAAGATTTTATTCAAAATTAGTTAAACAGCACCATCTTCCTAAGTAAATATTTAAATCCTGACAGAAGGTTTAATGAAGGCTAGTGGGATTAACTTAAGAAAACACCCATGATTGGAGTGATTATTACAATTAGACCCATTCATGTCAGAGTTCTGTGGTTCTATTAGATAGTTTTACCAAAGCTAGTGGGATTAATACAAAAGCAATGCCCAAATTTGAGGTCATTATTGCAATTAGAGTTGTACATGTCAACATTTCATGGTTTTATTAGAGAATGATTAATGTTTTTATGCTGGAGAAGGGAGTTTATTGTCTGCTCTAGGCCACATGTCATCAAATAAAATTTAGCTGTAATGCAATAATATTCCCCTAATTGTTGCAATCAGTTATGTTAAAGCAGCTCTGAACACACCAAAATATGGAAAGATTTGTTTTTAATTGTACCACACTACAGATTCTGATCTTGCTGGAAGTATGTTAAATAGAGAACATGGCCAGTAAGGTCAGACTTAAAGGAGCCACACAAGGATAAGATGGAATGGTCATTCACAGTCATATCTCCACAAAGACTTGCTGATGATGGCAACTCAGTGTCCAACAGTTGTAGTACAGACTGATTTCTAAAGCCCTTTTTTGAGGATAATTAATTACTCATTATTCCCTTTGGGTGGGCCTCCTTTTATTTTTTTTATTTTTTATTTTTTTTCTTTTTTTTTTTTTTTTTTTTTTTTTTTTTTTTTTTTTTTTGGGGTTTGTTTTTTTTTTTGGTGCATGTGTTTATTGGCATTTTTTTTGTTTTGTTTTTTGGGGTTTTTAAACTTTTTTAATGACTTTCCAAAGCACTGATTTGATCAGGCAACAAACTGAGTGATGATGTGCCAGATTAATCAAGATGCCTGAATTCATATGATGAGACATAACTTGGCACTGCTTCTTATTACAAACGCCAAAAAGTGCAGAATATGTTGTACAGTAATGCAAATGAAAAAGACTGGCTTTCCTGGCTTTCTGAAAGACAGAATCCGTCACTGTCTGCTCTATTTTTTAATAAAGCAGTCTCCATTTCATGCTTCCCAAAACCTCTTCATTCAGATTTGCTGTTGGAAGAATTGTGTCAACCTTGAAAAGCAATGAAAAGTGTGAAAATTGAAGTCCGCTTTTTTAAGTGATAGTTTTAACTCTTCTCCCTCCAAAGCTGTAGTGAAATCATTAAAAAATACAAATCAGTGCAAATTTCTGTGTTTAAAACTCACAGATGCAACTCGCTTGAAAATCATGACTGGTTGTAAGAAATCATTTTTAGAAATATTAAAAATATGTTTATTTTTATTCTTTCCTGCTTTCCAATTTTTGAAGCTCTTGTGTATTGCCATACCCTTTAAATGTAAATGCTGTATGACTAAGTATTCCCATTTCTTCTGACATACTAATTGCACATGCCAAATTATGATTTGGATCTTTGGCTGCACATGAACTCCCTAGTGCAAAACTGTTGGATTTCTGCCTGTGCTATCCATCAGAACATGTTCTTTATCAGGTCTACTCATTCAGGCCTCTCTGCAAAGACATAAAATTCTGCTTCTTATATTACCTTTAATGTCCTTTCCCCTGCCTTCTTTAAACTACTGTACACTTCTTCATCTCTTATGCACTCTCATACTGTCTTAACTCTCTCCCTTAGAGAGTCACAGCCCACATGCTCCCAAGCCTGAGTCTTGCTCATGAAGCCACATTGCTTCAGTCACCTTTTGGCCCACACAATCCACTTCCCAGGCTGTCCTTGCAGGGCCTGTGTTCCCTGTCAGTGGCAGCTGCCCATGTCTCATCCCTTTAACACACTGCCTTCCCTCATGTCCTGAGCTCTGACACTCACAGTGCCACTTCACTCTCACTTCCCTTTAAGGTGCTGATGGGTTTTCATACCTCCCACACCGAGATGCCTTTTCTATTTCCTAACATTACTGTGCTTCCTTGATGGCCTTCCCTCCATTTTAATTACTCTCTTTTGCTGCTCTTTGCTCTCCCTGTTTGTTCTTTCACACTCTTCCCCCGAGTGTCATAAGTCTCTCTTCTCTGCTTCACACAGTCTTTTCCTCATGGGTGTCCATTCTTCAAATGAGCAGCTCCCTGAGCAGCGGGAGGCAGAGTCCTCAGATGTCACTTGGCAGAACCAGCACTGCCAAGGTACAGGACTTTATTAAGACACGTAATGACAGCCAATGTGGTACCTTAAAATGTGGGTCTGGGAAATAATTGACTATGTGACAAATCTCCTCACTTGTTTTAAATGAACACAACCAACCAGAGCCTGCACATGAAAATAAATCCTCACTGATATAATGTGCTTTTTTTTTTTTTTTTTTTCAGGTGGTCTGAGAACTTCAGCCAAACAACATGGTATGCAAACCCATTGTACCCTGTAGTGTTAAGGTCCAGAAGCCAAATAAAAATTGCACAACATTGATTTTTGTTCTTACATTAATCTATAACTCTAGTGAGTATTTTGATGATGTCACAGTCTGTGAAAGATCAGGTTGGCAACAACAGAAGGTTCACAGCATATTCGAGGTAGCCTGAAAATTCTTGGAACCAGCAACCTGCATGGAACCAGTGCTCTGCTGTAAAGGGATCTACAGCTGCAATGTTTCCACAGCTTGCTGGAGTTGTTTCATCACTCTGTGTGAGACCAGTTACCCTTGCTACTTCAGAGATATAAATTTGTTAATTTCTGTGTCTTGCACTTTTCCTTCTGCTTGGGTAGGTGAAGACATTTCTTATGGAAAGGGAGAAGGTCTCTTGGCTCTGCTTTTTGCTGCTCCTCACATAAGTGATCACATGCAAACTGTACGAACATCCTCGCTTTCCACATTTTTGTGATCTAGTTGGACAATTCCTGAAATGTGAAAGTGCAATGTCACATCTGAACAAGGAGTTGTTTGTACAGGGTCACTTCCTCTTTCAGGTATGGTGAATTTTCTTGCAGAAGTCATAAGTAGTGCTTTAACTACACAGAAGTATTGTACTATCTTCTCCTTTATAATGTAATTAAAAATAATTAATTCAGTTTTGACAGCATAAACCTCTGCCTGCACATTTATATATTCATAAATTGTCAAAGAGACTGCTGTTTCAGTTTAACTACTTCTGAATGGTATAAATTTAAGTAAAATTTATTATGTGGATAGAAAGGACAACTACATACAACATGGATGCAGTTCATGGCTTATTTCATAGTGGACACAATTATTTGAAATAGTAAAAAATAAGATAACAGTAAAAAATAAAATAACATACATGTCATGAAAACCATAAGGAAATGTTCTCTTCATGGAGTTAACAGGGTTAACTAAGTTAACACTTAGTTTGGAATTTGGAATGTGCTAGAAAGAGGCAAAAGAAAAAAATCAGTAGGCGCCACATTGCAGCAATTTGTCCTTCAGACCAAGGTCAGCTGTTCTTGCCCACAAGTTATCTGTATGCCAGTCATCCAATAAGCAACAGTCTAATTTGGAAGAAGACAAATATAGAAGGTTCCAAAATAGGTTGGAAAATGGCAAAGAGACCATCTGCAGATCATGGGCCTGGTCAAAGCAGCCCTAGAATATCACAGCAGTTTTCCACTTGTGCCAGAGGTGTTACCATCACAGCCATCACATGGGTACACCTCAGATCTTCAGTGCAAAAAACAGATGGCAAACTGCAAAACTCCAGAGACTGTGAGCTTAAACAGGCACTGCAGAATGTGCATGGATCTGCTGAGGGGGTCTCACCGTGTTTTCTGGACATCTGGGTCTGCTGAAGGAGTAGTCATGTGAAGCAGGACAGTTGCAATCCATGTTTGTAAGTAATGCCAGGAATTTTTTCTTAAACTACTCCACTTGCCTGCTCCACAGGTCTCTGCCAGATCTTCTAGGAAGCAATGTGTGGGAGGAAAACACAAAACCAGAATACTTGCTTTTCTGGATTATTTTTTTAATGCATAGAAGCCATTTTATTGAGGTAAGTTCTACAGATATTTTCAATAGTAGTGGTAAATGGCAGTGAGTCACTGCTGTCATTCTGCACACGACTGTGTTCAGTTGCTAGATCTATCTGCTGTCATATACGGCTAAATTAATTGTGGTTTAAAATTGGGGCTGGTTCTCAAACTCAAGCAGTTAATGTTCTTGTCTTCATTATGCCAATTTGTCTAACCAAAGCAGTTAATACATCTCTGTAAATGGAGGGGAAAAAAATCAAAGAGAAGAAACTGTTGCTGACAAACGGACATCTGTCAAATGTAATTTCTAGTAATAAGTAACCTCATCTTTTGGGAATATTTTTATTCTTACTATTTTTAACTCATAACTTCTGAATTCTTTTTCCTTACTTAGAAGTTCACAGATGGCATGTTGTTAATCTTGGTTTAAGTTTAAAATAATATATTTTACAATACAACTATGAAAATTTGAATAGCTTAAATGGATAATTTATGGACGGCTGTCTACTTTCCAGGGCCTTGCAAAGCAATTGCTAAGCAAAAAGAGTTACATATTTTCAAAACTACTAGTTTTGAAACCAGCCTGTTGATACAGTTCAAGGGCAGAAAAATGAACATAACTTCCTATAAGTTTACATGTCATCATTGTAATTAGGCAGGGAGTTCGACAAAATCTCATAGTATGGACACTTCCAGGCTTTTAGTTTGAATCTCAGTGCAAGTACAAGTGACAGTCTTTAGGCCGTCTGGTTATAGATCATGTATTTCATCACTGACATTATTCACCTGAAAGGAAAAAACCAGAAACAAACAGACAAACAAACATTTTACATCTATTTTATTTTAAATTATAATGCCCAGTTTTGCAGTCACAGTGGTAAGCTATGAAACAATTTGACAGATGGATGGATCTCATGAAATAATCGTTGATTGCTCTCTTTGTTCTTCCTGTACGTGTCAAAAGTAAACAATAGAAAGCCTTTTCTCTGTCATGTTGCTTCTCAGTAGATTAAGATGAAAAGTTGAATAAGTGCAAAATATAAATATTATGGCAGGCTTAAAATAACTTTTATTTGATGTTTGATTTCATTTATTCTGTGTTTTATTTCTTGAAGGACAAATATTTTATTACATTTAGCATTTGGATAAAAATATATGAAAAATGTCCAAAACATAGGGAAAATAATACACCACGAGATGGCCAAACCTCAAATAAACACATCACAAATTAGGACATTTTTCTGTAAATTTAACTGAATTCACATAGCTTCTTGCTTTTAGGCAAAGCTCAGCAATAAAAAAAAATCCACAGGATGTTAAATCTTGCATAAGGATACTGATGGTAAATGTGAGGAAGGGTAAAAGCTACTCCACATCCATCATCAGTTTTTAGTACATTTCAAAACCTGAATATAATTGTGGTTTTCTTTCTTCAGTCCATTTTTAGCCTTCAGTTTGCTAAGCAATTAAAACCAACTAACCTAACATCAAAGCTGCCTCATTTTAATAGAAATACATTTTATAGTTTTCATAATTAACTTGCAGATTTTAAATTGTTTGAAGGCTATTCCAACATGACAAAGATAATAGTGCAGAATGATGCAGGTCCTGTACCCAGTGCCTGTTAAGACTTTATGTTTGACCAAACAGCCTCTGGTGCAATGGTGCAGATGCTCAACTGCTGGAGTGTGTCTGAAAGCCAGCACACTGCTACCGAATTACAGGCACACCGTAGAAGTAGGAAGATGGGAGCACGGGCTGAGGGCAGGTAAAACCAATTTCATTTATATTCAGTCATGTACCGTGTACTCAGATTTTACCTGGGTAAATTATGCTTCAAAGCTGAAAGTTTTGGCTTAGTTCTATTTAAGCAGGAAAATCATAAGCTTTAATCGACAACACGATGAGATGATGTAAGGGGCCCTTAATGGTCGCTGACCAAAACCCTCTTGATTTACACAGTGGAAACTATAAGCTTTCTTTAGATGCACCACCAGTGGATGAAATGACAGAATTTGTTTTTGCAGCAATTTCAATACAAACAAGACAAAAACCAAGCAAACAAACAAACAGACAAAAATAGTTTACCTCTTGCATACCAGATATTCCTTGAATTTGCAGTTTTAAAACATACTTCTTGGAATTTCCACTGAATCAGGGACTCAGGCTGTTTCTGTGAAGAGCCTACACAGGAATTCAGCTGTATTGGCACTAAGTCCTGCTAACAAATACCATGTTTACATTATAAATTTAATCAGAGAAATTGTGATGGAAAAATAATTAAATCAGAAGAAATCATTACCATTATGGAAAACTTCTTTGACTATCACCTTTTTCTGGCTAACAAGAAAAGTAGCTCTTAGGAGCTCTTAGGAGCCAATTCTTATCCTTTGACATGGCAAGAGAAAATCATACTTATCCTGGTGCAGCTATTTAAAGAATTAAATATAAAAGAAAAATGTTAACCTGATATATTGCTTAATGGTATCTTAAGGTTCACTACCAAAGGGAAAAAAGAAAAAAAAAGGGCTTCACAATCACAATGGTTTTAGTGTAACAAATAGGAATGATCATAATTATGACCACTAGTGAAATATTTCATTTTTTCGTCCTTTGGCCTTTCCTCCCACTCCTTCTGATCGTATTTTGTTCCTGTCATATGTGAGTAGGTAACACTTTCCCAAATTAATCTGAGAAATGGCCTTTCACAAGTCGTTTTTAAATGTGTTTCAACAAACATACTGTACTCATGTACTCATGCTACTGGCTTTAGTCTTGGCAAGAACATGAAGTATACAAATGCAGTGCCCAGAAGCCACAGTCATGCTGAGCTGTTCTTAGAGCAAAACTCTGGAGGGTATAGCAGGCACATTGCAGGCACTTTATGGCACTTCACACCACCAGCTTTTTGTCCCTGACAGCACTCTGCAGTTAAAGGAAAAAGACATCAACTCGAAAACAGACACGAGATGCTGTCCAGTTGAAAAGGTCACTGCAGCAAATGAGCAATTAGTGCACCCTGCTGCAATGACTGCTTTAGGTTGAGAAAGGACTTAGGCAAAACACAATACCTGAACACACCAGCTTTGTAATCTGTTTGTCACAAGTCAACAGTCAGTGCTGCAAAATGAGTTGGCAGGGTATAACCCTCAGGGACGGCATGAAGCCTGTTCTGCACAAGAACACCAGGCTTATTATATGTTTATGCCTACACTTGAAAAGACTGTTTCTTGTCAACATATACCAAACTCAACTCCCAAACAAAATCTGCTTTGAAAGAAATTTTCTGGTGACAAAGTTCTATGTACTATAAGTGCTTTGAAGAAATGCCAGAAAAATCACTTCACTAATTTGCAGCCTCATCTAAGGGACCCATTTATAAACTTAATCAGATGCTTATTGCTTGGTCTACTGTTCATTACAAACAAGGTTTCTAGGAATTGTTTTCTGTACCAAAGTCCAGTATTATGTTGTTTAAACATTTGTTTTCAAGTGTTGGTTTGGCAGTCTCATATCAGCATGATTCTATCAACAGAAATTAAATCTAAAAGATCATAACTGCTATATAATGTTTAATACTCATGTGGTGGTTTACAAAAATCAAACATTCTCTGGGAGAAGGTATACAAAGCGACAAAAGTCAGGAGGCAGAGGAAAATAAATAATGCAATGGAAGAGTGACATAAAGTCAGGAAAAGAAGATAGACTAGCCACTTAGGTGAGATTTACAATGGCAGAAAAATCTACATGCTAGAATTTGTAGTCAGTTTTTGCAAGCCATTAATGTACAATGAATGTGTGTTTCCCTCCCTGTAAAAGATGCTCTAAAATCCAAATATCTTCCCCTGTGAGAAGCATAGACATCTGGATTTTGAGAAGGGAGCAGGCAATGCAGACAGAACTCTTCCTTCCACACTGACGGAGAGACAGCTGGCAGTGAAAAAAATTTCACAAAGAAATGGCTTAATTGTTCAAATCTGAGCCTTCTCACCTCCTCTTGCTCCCTGCTCCCAGACACCTTACAAACATTGAAGAATAGAAGGAAAGTCTTTCAAGTAAGGAGACGACGAAGGATTTATAGGAACAAGACAACATGATTGTTTTAACTTAGCAGGTTCACAGCTGCCTTAAGCTGTTCTAAGACAGAGTTGCACCCAACAGGAAAGATCCTGTCCTCTCATCTACTCTCATCAGCGGGTTTTCAATGACTTCCTCTTCCCCAGCTCCCACAACATGTGGCAGCAAAGAAAAGCAGATTAAAGTGCTAATGAAGGGAAAATGAAAGAGGAGAGAGAAGTGAAGTTCTGGGAGGGGAAGAGAAGTTCTGGGAAGGGAAGCTCCAGGGAGAGGAGAGGAGAGGAGAGGAGAGGAGAGGGGAGGAGAGGAGAGGAGAGGAGAGGAGATTTGTGTTAGACCCCAGTGTGAACACTTAGGAGACTGCAGGACACCCTAACTAGAGAGATAACGAGTATGGTACATGCAGCATATTTTTTTTTTTTATGGAGAATTTTTCTGGAAAATCCTGCTTGGCGTTTTTCCCACTTCAGTGAGTGCAGTTCTTACCATGTGGATTGCATCCAGAATTGAAAAAGAACAGTCTAAATTAATGTTTTACTTTCAAGAGGATTTGGTTTTTTTTCTGAGTATACCAACATCTCAGTACCGCCCAGGGAGAGAAACCTTGCTTTCTAACTCTTTCACAGCACTCCACACAATTAGAATTTGACTAATAATGCTTTAAATTTTGTATTTGTCCACCAGTTACTACTACCCAGTACTTGCAATACTGTTTACACTGCTTGCTGAGGTATCTCTGACAGCAGAAGTAACTAAACTAATCCTAAGAGGTATTAGTGAAGGATGCTGCTCTCAGGCAATTCCCTTACATGTTGTTAAAGCAAATTGAACCAAAGGAAATCCCCAAAGAGCTTTTAGGAAAAGGTTTTGCATTTGTCTCTTGATGTCGCCAACTCAAAGACAAAAGCAGCCACTAGTTATCAAAGGACAACAGATAGCTTAGAAATAATTTATTGAAAGGTCATGGGTTAGTTTTACTAAACTACCTTGTAACATGAGGGTCCCAGAGAATGGCCATTCTAATTTAGGAATCATGAGTAGAACAGTGAACAAAAATATTATCCAGGGCTTGGGGATAGCAATCAACAATTCAGTTATAAATTTAGGTACAATTGTCTATCTAGAAATAGAGGAAACCCAAGGACAATACAAACTAGAAAAACACAGCTAGAGCAGAAGTCATTGCAATAATTTGTTGTAAACTAGATTACTCATAAATACTTCAGATTGTTCTAATATGAACAATATTTTTCAGAGTGCAGAACAATAACTAGTATTGTCCAGAAGAACAACCTTTTAATTTTTAAACCTCTGAGGGTTTTTTTGCTTATTTACTTATGGCTAATGGGGATACAGTCTTTTCAACATAATGTACTATGTAAATAAGATAATGTTTTCAGTAATTTTTTAAATTTGATATTATCTTTAATTTTTTTCTCTTTGCTGAACTGAGGTAAGAACAAGGGCCTTGAAACATATAAGTGGCTTCCTGTGCCTTTACCACTTAATTATGCTAAGCCATCTGTAATCCAATGTCCATTTCCTAGGTTAAAAGTGAACCAAATACCAAAGAAAGCGGTCAACTTTCTTCTTTATTCCAAAATCTCTTCTTTATTCCAAATTTTTACAAGTGGAATAAAGACCCACTAAACACCAAAACCAACAAGACCCAACAAATCCTATGGTACACACAACGACTCTGAAATTCAAAGGATCAAAACCAACAAAGGTACCATCAATCCAGTGGAAAGCTAGAGATCATGAAGATCATAAGAAAAAGTTCAGTTTGCAACTGACTTTACAATGTGCCTTTTTTGTTGTTGTTGCTTTTGTTTCATTCAAAGAACAACAGTCTGTAGCAAGATCAAGATTTTCATGCTTTCTTGCTCCTTTTCTCTTGTTCCTACAAGTCTTTTTATGGACCTGAATTTTCACTTTTTATGATGCTATATCAAATATGCAAATGGGTTGTCAAATACATGCCACAGAGGGTTTTTAATGCTTTCAGTGTAATTATGAGGCTTTAATACTAACATACAGAAAGAAGAAAATTAGAATATTCACAGAACCTATAATATGATTTTTAGATGAGAAAAGCTTATCCAGAATTCAGAGACTATTCAAAGGAATGTATTAAGCAAAAAAAACACATCAAATATAAGCCAAGGACACCCAACTGCAAAAGAATTTAAAGTTCACACTAAGCACTAACAAAGCAGTTTCATTCTGAAACACCAAGAAAGGGTTTTTCACTTAGTTCTTTTCTATATTGAGATCTCTTGCACATATTTTTAACACAAAACTCCTGTTTTAGTGAAAAAGTCTGAAATACTAGTATCCTAATGTGTTATAGAAACTTCCTGCCTTTTCTCTTGCTTGCTCTTTTATCCCCACATCCCTAGAATAAAAAGTGGCTGAAAGGCAGGGAAGATATTCCCTTTCAAAAGCTTTTGTGGAGGGGTTTAGGTACAAGTGGCTTTAAGATCCCTTTTCACTACAAAATCTCAAAGTAAATTTATCTTTCCAAAATCTCCCTTCTTCATAAAATGTTAGGGGATGGTAATCAAACTTCCATTGCACTACACAAATTCAGACCCTTTGACAATGTTGGCAGTAAAAGCATTCTGGGAAATGAGAAAGGTTTCTCAATTCTGTTCAGTTTGTATCAGCACATCTCTCCTGCTACTAATTATCTATTTGCCTTGTCAACATGATCCATTCAAATGGCTCCTCATCCTTGGTGCATCATCTGCAGCTCCTCTGCAGTACTCCTTCCTCCTTTGTGGATTATCTGCTTACTCCAAATCCCTCTTTCCAGTCTCTGTGTGGATAGTCCCCTTGATTGTCTAGTGCCAGAAACCTTATTGGAAAAAACTGTTAGGCAAAGAGCTTGCCAGAGATTTGGGTTAATTAGTGAGAAATGGTTCTGAAACAACTATTTCAATTAAAAAAAAAAAAAAACAAAAAAAACCAAAAAAACAGAAAAACAAACAAGAAGAGAAGAATGCAGCAGCAGTTTTCTGTTTGTTTTCTTGTTCTTCTTAAAAAACTGAAGTGTCTTTGGGTAATTTATCTCTGTAACTTTTTTAGAAAGAGTAGGTTCCATTCTGGTTGAGGGCTGACCACTGGCAGAGGCAGAATACTGGCTCAGCTCCAGCACTGAGTGGCAACTCCAGCTGTTGTGCAGAGACCATCGTGCTTAGCAAATGCATATACACACAGTGGAGTTACCGACTGTCAGGTTTACAGTGATAGATGAATTCCCCAAAGACAGGCAAGGTCTTAACCGGCCTTTCCAGCTGCGACCTGCGTTCTGAACTGAAACTCCTTTAAGGTACAATCTGTTGAAACACATTCTCTCCACCCATTTTCCATCACATAGACAACAGTGTTTCCTTTTGCTCCAAAGAAACATTTGCCCACAAACCTGCTAAATAAAGTGTGGGATGGCACTCCATATGAGCAAAAATCAGATCCTGCAGGGGCTGTGTGAATGCTGAAAAAGTGTAATTGAAAGCAATCATAGACAGATTCAAATTAGCTTTACTTCCTCCTCTCCTTTTTCCTAATCATTTAAAAAAAATGTTTAAAATAGCTCCTTTTTTGCTTCCAGAAGTCTAATCCCTTTCTCATATACAGTAGTAGCACAGTGGTGAACCTCTACTGAGTGTCTTCAGATCCTTATCAATGTAAACAAGAAAGGTTTTTTTGCCTTATTAGTTCATTGACAGCAGTCTTCCCTCACACAGAACTTTCTGCAGAAGATGTCGTCATCCATATACTGGATGACGTGCAGTCTGTAAGTATAGGAAGCTGGGAAAGAGAAACAGAACTAGAACTGATCTGTAGGGTATTCAGGAACAGAACTAAGACAGAAGGAATGACGGAGCAGTTTCTATGCAGGTGTTTTTCTTTTGAAAATTCCATCTTTGCTCTTTGATAACGAAATGGCTTTTTAAACATATGAAAGGGAGTTTTCATTGGAACACATTTTGGGAAAAAAAAAAAAAACCAAAAAAAAAAAAAAAACAAAAAAAAAAAAAAAAAAAAAAAACCAAAAAAAAAAAACCATAAAAGAACATTAAAAAAGCTTATTACCCATTACACACCCATCCAGCATATAAGCCATTCAAATGAGTTCAATCAAGCCAATTTGCATACAGAGCACACAAAATGGGAATGCAATTTGCACATTTTATTGTAAAGTAAAGCAATTCTCATGTCAGTATTCACAGTCTTTAAAAGGAAAATTCTCTATGCAGTTGAGTATTTCACAGAGAAGACTGCGGATAGATAGTATTCATAAAATACATTTTATCTAAATTGCTAACTGTCTTTAGCAATAAAACCATCTGAAATAGATGTTGACAAGTGGAAATTATATTAAAAACTCTGCAAGAATTCAACATATTCAGAGCTATGCTACTGTAATTTCAATATTCTGCTATATCTTTGCTACTGATAGAAAGTGTATTTGCCCCCAGATGCAATTTAAAATAGCAAGACCTACATTTTCAGTATCCCTTTTGACCTCAATGGAACTTAAACTTGGGAAAGACTAAGAAATCAGCCTGTATATGTAGGTAAAAGACAGAAAAATGCAAAATTACTCAACATGGCTAATGCTAAATATTCCACCACAAAAATAAAAAACTGCATTTTTGGGATTTGGGGGAGATCTTAATTCTTAGTTCCTCCCTTCTTTCTCCCTTGTGACAATTTATTTAGTTTTACTTCTTCAAGATCCCATTTCAAATATTCTGACATTATCAGTTCTTACCTACCAAGCCCATGTTCAAGTTCTACTTTTTATTTCTTCCTCTCTGGCTCCTTAACTTCTTTGTTTTCTACTCGGGCTTTTTTCTCCTTCATCTGGGACTAGCCTCTGTCAAATAGTACAGAAGAAGGTCAAACTAGCAGTATGACAGTGGGAGGGACACGTTGCTCATCTTTGGGTGCTAAAGTTTCATTGCGGTGGCTCATGTGTAAAAATAACCTCTGTTCCAAACTGAAATTTTCAACAGCTTTATAATTTAGGGATATTCTTACAATTATGGAAGAAAAACAAACCTGTAAAACCAGGTCTGGTCCTCAGCCTAGTTAAAATATTCTGCTACAAATGGCATCATTCTAAAGAAAAAGCTATGAACATGGGCTTAAAGTCTCCCTAACCTATTACCAGAAATAAAACAACCATGTAACCACAATCATTTGGAAAACAGTCTGAACAGAAGCAGGCTTGGAAAGTTGTATAAATAAAAAAAAAATAATTAGAGCAGAAGCCCATTATGACACAGGACCACATGAGCTCATTATTAACATCCCCTCCTCCAAATGAAGACCAGCCTGAGTAGAAAACCACATTGCTTAACAGTGAAGATATATTTATAAACCAACCACAGATTAAGGTCTCTTGCATCCAAGGGAAAGCACAAGACACAAGCAGAGGAAAACTCAGGTCAGGAGGGAGCTCAGGAGGTTTCAGTCTAATATATTCCTCAGCCCCATCAGCCAAGGAGTTAAACAAGCACTCCAGGAAAAGAGTTCACTGCTCATCTGTATTTTGGGCAAAAGTTTCCTTATGGCCTGTCGTGTCCTTCACCCTCTCTCTATGGCCTGCTGAGGAAGCCTGGCTCCAGCTACAACAACCCTTTATAGGCAGTGGGGTCTGCTTTAAGAGCCCTGGAGCTGCTCCCTCTCTAAGCTGAACCAGGCCCAGTCCTCCAGCCTCTCCTCACAGGGTGAGTGCCCTAAGCCCAACCACATCACTGGCCCCCTAAGTTCAAGCTGATTTATTTCTCACATTAAGGAATCCAAAACTGCATGCAGTATATGGATGTGGTCAAAAAATTCTGAGCAGGAGGGGAATTCCATCCAGTGACTGACTGGCCACGTTCCTGTTGAAACAGCCCTGGATGTGTTTGACCAGGACACTGCTGGCTCATGCTCAGCTTGCTGCAGCCAGCAACCCCAGGACACTGCTCAACCAGGCAGTCCCTAGCATCTCTCTCTGCAAGAGGTTATTCCTTCCCATGGCAGATGTTCCTCTCTGTCCTTGTTCAATTTCATGAGATTCCTGTTGACCTATTTCTCCATTCTGTTTAGTTTCTGAAAATTCTTCAGGGGTATTCTCAAATATTTTGTCCCATAACTATTACCGTTTTCAAGGAAGGACCTTGTGTTCATACCTCATGAAAAAATCAGAGGCAAATCTATTTGGAAAGGCAGTTTTAAAGGGATAATGCAAGACACAGATACATATGGTGACAGTAGGTGCCATGGTCGAAGTGGGGAATAGAGGACAATATGATATGTTGCTGTTACCATTATTATGGTTTCAATCACATCAGCATGATATGTTGCTTTTTCAGGTAAAATGGTGTGATCAGGAAATTACTGCAGTTTGGATGTCTGAATATGATGGGACTCCTTGAGTGGCAGAACAAAAAGGTAAGGGAGCAGGGAGACAGCATGTCTTGTTCCCAGTGATTTACAACAGGTTCTTAGGTGAAAGGGCCAAGGTATGATGATCAGCACTCGCTGGGTGTGGTGTGGACCAGACAGCTCCTCATTGTGTCAGGGACTTGAGACTTACACACAGCTGTCCTGTCCAACAGTGCTTCCAGACTTCAGTTTCTCTTGGATAATACCACTATCACCCTGCCTTAAATGCTAGGAATAAAGTCGTACATAAAGTGGTGTTAGTAAGCACTGTCATGAAAAATTAAGGTCCAGGAATTCTGACAACCCAGACCAAATGATTTGCCACAGAATTTCTGCAGCAGAGTGGATCAATTTGTTTTGAAAATCAGATACATGACAGAAATGAGGGCTGCTGACAGGATGCTGCTTAGAACTATTTCCTTCCAGAATATTTTCAAAATTTAGCCAAGACTGTGCCTGGGAACTCTAAATACAGCAGAATGTCAGCCTGTTTATATGCCTCCCCAAGCTATTTTCAACAGCTCATTCAGATGTGCTGACCAGCAAAAGTCATGCAAGTTTAAACTCTCTCAACTATTTGTCATGTATTATCAAAAAGAGCCATCAAACTGATGCTTCAGTAATGTGGTTTATTTTGCAATTAGTTAGATAATTAAAAGAAGGTTTGTATGGTAACAGAGCAGGTAAGTGAGAATCCAGGAGCAATCATATGTATTTATGATTCTGCCATCACCCACAGCTTCAAGCACAGTGTTCAGCTGCTCTCTGACAGTTTCCACACCCCAACCCAGTATAACAGCAGGTAGTAGAGTAGTACTGAAAAATAAGAATCTAGCCCATTTCCTACAGAAGTTAACAGCTGTGCCTTTAGTAATTTTTACTAGAGAGGGCCAAATTTAAAGACCTTGAATCTGACTGTGAACCATACTGTGCCAGCATACCTGTATTGTCTGCTCAACCCGAAAGTGGCTAAGCTCCCCTCTTGAACATAGGACCCCATGAGACTGCAAAATAGGCCTCTCTGTGTTTGTACATGATCTCCTCCTATTGATAGAGATGTAAATATCACATAAAGAAGAGAAGATAATTAGTGAGACCCAGACGTCTTTGTGGTTGGTGGTCTGCAGAAATCGTACTGAGGCTATCTGTAGTTCTGAGAAGTCTAAGGATGCATTCCTGAGCATCCTAGAGTCAAAGGGAGTAAATGGAAGCTCCAACCTTGGTCTTTAGAGTTGCCAAGCACAATTCACCAGCCTTCCATGAGATTCTGCTGAAAAGAAATAGAAACTAAGTGTAAAAATCCACAATTAGTAGCAAATGTACTATATAAGAGAAAGGGGAAAATAATTCCTACATTTAGTAGAAATTCTCTCTGCCTTAAAAAGCGTAAGAGAAGGTACTTCTATTCAATAGAGACTTTCATTTGTAAACGAAGGTATACCATCTACAAATTGAAAATATCTGTGAAATGGTAACATATTTAACAGAAATTCAATAGCCTTCTTTGTAGCAGCAGCCAAGCAATATTTGATGTCAGAGGAAAAAAAAAAAAGAAAAAGAAATTCTATTATTAGGGCTCATATTTTTGTTGTTGCTTTTGGATTTTTTTTAATCCCTTATTGTCTAGCAGGTTGTCAGGGCCACCTCCAAGAGCTCTGACAGTCCTTACACTGGGAGCGTCCCTTCCCCGCCTCATTGCATGATGATCCTGAGCCGGGTTTTCAAACACAATAATGTCTCTGGGTAACAATGTGAAAGGCAGCTGCAGCGAGCGTGGAGGTCAGGCAAAGCAGGCCGTGGATGCAACAGCACCTGCCTTTTGCATGCAAAGACGAAGCAAATTACAACATTTGTCGCCAAGGAACTGAGCAGCAGCACCATGTGTGATGGCCTCACGAGCACCATTTTCATCGTGGGCATGGGTATATCTTTTCAAATCTAGAGCAGGGAACAGATGTTTCATCAAAAGACACATTTAAAATAAAGATAATTATGCAGTAAGAAGCTTAATTACATAGGATTATTCAGGTCCACTTAATTGCTTGACAGACTGAGGGCCTCCTACGTATTTGTGACAGGAACACCCTTCTCACTGGGTTACCAAACTCGGTCATGGCTTCGGGAAAAATGCAGTTGTTTTAGTAATCCAACTAATTCTAGTTTCTGATTTTCAGCTACAACAAGGAAAAGTAAGCAAACTTACCAAGCTTAAAACTATAATTTTATTCCCATAGGCAATGTATTTTCTTCAATAAAACATGAATAGCCTGAACTACAAAAACTTAGTGGTTTTATCACTGTGTAGTATGAAGGACATTAATTTCACTTAGACATGATTCTTCTCTTTAGATAAAGAGAAGAATCTCCTCTGGTCTTACTGCTCACACATGCCAGTTTTCAGAAGTTTGTTATGCCTTTTCCATGTGGGTATTTAAAAATGGCCTTTCACCACCCCAAAAAGGGATACCTCTTTCTCCACAAGAAAAAGTCCTAATACTGTAAAAAAAAAAAAGTATTTAACTCTAAGAAAGAAATTATTTTTTTAAAAAATTTGCTTAAATGACACAATGTGCACTGTAGCGCAGAACAGCCATTCTGTGGGACTGTATTCCCATGGTAGCTACTGAACTGATCATACTAACACACTTCACAGGAATAAAATGATTTCTGTGAAATTATGCTGACAGGCTTCCAGTGTGATTCTATGGGATCCTGGGAGCTTACCAGCTGCAGAGCTTGGATTCAGCACTACTCCAAAATACAAAATTAGCGAGGCAGATATGCCATGTGAATCATGCTGAACAGGGAACCCCCCCATCTACAGAGTCCACGCAGCTGGGGCTTTTAAAGGACACACAGCAACAACCCAGGTGTTCTTTGCTCTTTACAGGTTCTAGACAGCAGTTCAAATGATTGTTGTGTAGAGAGTTTTGCAATTAAATTTCACCACAGCCCTAAGTGTGTTAGTTCCCCACAGTCAACATGTTTTTTGATAATGTACTGTAGGGCATTAGCAAAGCCACACACCAAATTTATATGTGAGGGGTGTAAATGTGATACTGAAAGCCTGAGCACTAAAATGATCTCTTAATTTTCATCAAAGAGAACACTATAATATTTGCATCTGTCAAGCCATTGCAGACTTTTCTTGCATAGACAAACTAGGAATGGTTTAATTGTGCATTACTGAACAAAAACAAACAAACAAAAAACAACAAATCAAACCTGCAGAAGAATTAACTTTATAAGGACTTAAAGCTTCTAATTTAGAAAAAAAATCCTTAGTTCAGTCTAAGCTGGTAAATGTAACTTATAGCTTGGGAAAGACGATTATCTTATAATGGCTCCATTCACATTCACAAACTTGGGGTCATTTTAAACTCCTGCTATGTTTTGGAATGCTGCCCAGAAAACGTTGGTGTGAAAAATCTGCTGAATGCCTTTGTGCTACATTAGCTAACAGTATTTAAGGTCAATAATGCAGGTGCGGGCTTTCCTTCATTCATTTTAAAAACTTAAAGACTTCTTCCTAAACCTCTGTTTATAAGTGGCTTTTGCTCAAACCTCTAAAAAGAAGAAAGAATTGGGGAAAATGAGTAAAGGATACCATTTTGCTGTTATCAGGAGAGAGAACATGAGAGAAGTGCTAATAAATCATAAACCAATAATAAGATTCAGTGTGGCAACTTAACTTTTAGAAACATGTACCAGCACTTAGTGCACTTGCCAAGCAAATCACAGGAACCTATGCTACTTTCCACACTAATGGTGTCAAGGTGCATGGAATGTTTCCCCCCTGCTGCTTGAGAGTGACATTAGAGAGCTCTGGTGAAGCATATGCCCAAGCTCCTGCTCTGCAGCAGCTATCGTATGCTAGGGTGACACTATGACTGATCACACCCAGGCACTGCTGCTGTCGCTGCAAATGGGCTTTCAGTTATAATGGAAACGTTTAGTTCAAAGCACCATATACATTACATGTGTTATTAATGGCTAAAACAGATGCTTCCATCTACTGAAAGGGTTTGTTTTTATATAAAGCAAATCCTCCTGTAAATTTGGATCTTTTATTGGGCTGCATATCAGTCTGAGGGGTAATAAGAAGAAAAGCCCCTTCTACTTTGCCTTATATTACAGAAGCACTTAAATTTTTAATTTGTGTTTCATATCACCAAATTTATGTACATCTACACACATTTTATTACCCATTTTATAAAGCTCCGTTTGTTTCTGTTGTAAATTGCACAGTTTCTTAATCACTGCTAAGCATAAAATGCCCCATCAGTAAATTATTCCTACAATAAAATACATGATGTGGTTTACAAATGATGGTTATTAATTTCAGGACAGAGATGTTGCATTTGTATTGTGGTTTATGTTCAATTAACACACTGCTTCATTAATGCAAACTGTCAGCACAGAATTGAACCAGAGACTAAATGAAAATGAAGCACCCTGAAAAGGAATTATTGCGTGGGCTAAACAGAGTAAAAGCCAATTTATTTGTGAGTTTGCTTGTACAATACCACCTGAGGTATTAACGAGCAAATCCAGAAGCACAGATCATGCTTTCAAAAAGAAATGTCTGATTGCTCTACCTTTTAATGCATTTTTTGTGGAAAGTATTGTGTCTCTGTGCACATGATTTATCAATGATTCTACAGCTGGAGCAGGTGCAGTTCATGAAAGCTACATTACAAGGGGAATACATCTTTAAAAATAAGTCACCCATTTTTTTATTAATTATAAACAAGAATGTTTTCTAGGGCACATGCAGCACATGAAAGAAAAGGGTGGCCACAGTGGAAACAGTAATTGTGATCCTTTAGATGCAAAGCACAACATTAGTTTTATTTGTCAAATATGATTTTGCTAGAAAAACTCTGTAAAGGACTCTGAAAAACTCCAAGTAAAAGAAGCAGATGGTAATGGTTCAAAACCAAAATGCTGAATTAGACTTTTTTTCGGAACAGGACAACTTTGTAGGACAAAATTGCTTATATGTT